CACTCACTCACTCACTCACTCACTCACTCACTCACTCACTCACTCACTCACACACACACACACACATACACACACAGTTTGTGTATTTAAGATTGGTTGTGTATTTTTCAGTGTTTGTTGTGCATTTTATAGTTGTGTATTTTGGTGTGTGTGTGTAAATGCACAGCTTGGGTGCACATTTTAAAGTCTGTTGTTTTAAAGTCTGTTGTTTTAAACTCTGTTGTTTTTAGAGACTCTGCTAGTTTTTGAACCAGACCACCGAACATATTTAGTTTTGTGTGTGCATGATGGCAGTACAGGTGTCCTCGTGATGCAGCTTTAACCAGCATGTGTGCACGACACGGTGCGCTGTGTTTACTGACAGTTCGTAAATGTTGCCGAGCTTCACTGATGTCCCGAACAGAACCAGACCTGTTCTTAATGCAGTGGCCCCCGAGGGCCCCGAGACCTCTATTAATGACTTTCAGCCTGGTCTGAGCTCAGAGATTTCTCCAGATTCTTGAAATCTTTAGAAAATATTATGAACTGTAGATGAAGGAATATTCAAAGTCTTTCCAGTTTTCTGTTGCAGAACGTTATTCTGAAATTGTTCCACTGTTTTTAGACAGTTTTTCATAAACAGGTGAACCTGTGCCCATCTTTGCTTATGATAAATTCTGACTCTCTTTACCCAGTCCAGTTAACTTAATTAGTTGTGAACGCTCCTCCAACTGTTTATTCTTCACACCACTTACTTTTACAGCCTTTCGTTGTCCATGCGTCAGCCTCTTAAGATACGCCGCTGCCACTAAATTCAAACACCGTTTTTCTAAAAATGGAACAGTTTTTTAGTTTGACATGTTCAATATGTTCCAATTGTGAATAAAATTTGAGTTGAGATTTCCAAATCATGGCACTCTGTTTTTATTTACAGTTTACACTAAGTCTCAAGTGTTTTTGCATTCGTACATTAGTGTTGTAAATTTGAATCCAAGATTTGATGGAATGAACACTTTTAGTTGGCGCTGCAGCAGCTTGCTAATCGGTGCGTAGAATCGTGAGGCTGCAGGTTTGAGCCCAGGTTGCCTCAGGAAGGGCATCTGGCTTTACACGACTGCTGTGGGAGTTTGCTCACTGTGGCAACCTTTGCAGAAAGGAGCTGCCAGAAAACGACGTCACTTTGTTGTCGAGCCACTTTCTGAAGATGAACCAGGATAAAATCAAAAACCGTTTCTTCACATTTTTTATTCCCAGACTAACAGAAAGCCTGACATCAAAGATGTCATATCTTTGTAATTCTAGAAGAAACGTCCCCTGTGAAGCACGTCGTTTCTCCAGTTCATCGGTGTAAAAGCGGTAGCTGTGTTCGTTAGCCTTTCTGTGTAACCCCTCAGCAGTTCAACCGTACAGAGTAATGGGTGGGAACCACGATATCTAGAGTTTATACCTGGATGTAAACACCTCAGCTCGGCCTGTCTTGACAGGAATAATTTAGCTCCTATTAAGTCTCCCTGTTTGAGTGAGTGTGTGTTTGTGTGGCGGGGCATGCACTCCTCAACACAAACGTGAAGGGCCTCTCCTCTCCTGCAGGTTGGGACATGGCAGCGTTGCCCTCATCATTCCACTGAGTTCACATAATAAGAGCTTAGCTTCTTGTCACACTAACAAGGCAGAGTTAGTCATCACCACCGCAGCCTGTCATAAGAAACACTGCACTGCTGCTCTGGTGGAGGCTCTTATCTGATCTCTCACTGTTTCAGATATCTGATTTTGGCCTGGCCCGATGGAACGGCCTGTCACGGGCCGATGACATCAGCAGAGACGGCTTCTGTGGCACCATTGCGTATCTGCCGCCCGAGAGCATCATAGAGAAGGACAGAGTGTCGGACACCAAGCATGACATTTACAGGTTGGCTTTTCTACAAGTTGGCATTTAAAGTTTTTGTTTGTTGTTGTAAATTGAGGGTTTTATAATTGAAATCTTGTTTCTGCACATTCAGTCTGATCTAATTATTACCTGCCACCAAAGGTGAAAAGTTGAGGATGGTGTTTTGGCTCGTGCATGTGCATGTGCATGTCATAACATTAGAATATCATGAAAAAGTTGCTTTTTATTTCAGTAATTCCATTCAAAAAGTGAAACTTGTATATTATATTCATTCATTACGCACAGACTGATGTATTTCAAATGTTTATTTCTTTTAATGTTTAGTCGGAGAGATTTATTTGTCATACACACCACATGCAGTACATGTGGTGGAACGAGATTATGTAAATTGATGATTATAACTGACAACTAATGAAAACCCCAAATTCAGTATCTCAGAAAATTAGAATATTGTGAAAAGGTTCAATAATGAAGACACCTGCAAAAGCCGTTAAAACATCTCTCATTTCAGCACAAAAAAAAGAAACTGTCCAGGTGACCTGACTGAAAAATGTTGGATTGTATACCTGGATTATTGAGCATGGACTTTGTTGTCTCTCAGTCTAGTTCTGTAGCTACACAATCATGGGGAATACTGCCGACTTGACAGTTGCCCAAAAGAAGACCATTGACACCTTGCACAAGGAGGGCAAGACACAAAAAGTCATTGCTAATGAGGCTGGCTGTTCATAGAGCTCTGTGTCCAAGCAGATTATTAGAGAGGTGAAGGGAAGGAAATGATGCAGTAGAAAAAAATGTACAAGCAATAGGGATAACTGCACCCTGGAGAGGATGGTGAAACAAAACCCATTCCAAAATGTGTGGGAGATTCACAAAGCGTGGACTGCAGCTGGAGTCAGTGCTTCAAGAACCACCATGCACAGATGTACGCAAGACACGGGTTTCAGCTGTCGCATTCCTTGTGTCAAGACACTCTTGAACAAGAGACAGCGTCAGAAGCGTCTCGCCTGGAACTGCTGCTGAGTGGTCCAAAGTTATGTTCTCTGATGAAAGTACATTTTACATTTCCTTTGGAAATCCAGGTCCCAGAGTCTGGAGGAAGAGAGGAGAGGCACAGAATCCATGTTGCTTGAGGTCCAGTGTCAAGTTTCCACAGTCAGTGAGGGTTTGGGACCATGTCATTTGCTGGTGTTGGTCCACTGTGTTTTCTCAGGTCCAAGGTCAACGCAGCATCTACCAGGAAGTTTTAGAGACTTCCTGCTGCTGACCAACTTCATGGAGATGCAGATTTCATTTTCCAATAAGACTTGTCACCTGCACACAGTGCCAAAGCTACCAGTACCTGGTGGTATCCCTGTTCTTATTGGCCAGCAAACTCTCCTGACCTTAACCCCATAAAAAAATCTGTGAGGTATTGTGAAGAGGAAGATGTGATACTCCAGAGCCAACAATTGAGAAGAGCTGAAGGCCACGATCAGAGCAACCTGGACTCTCAGAACACCTGAGCAGAGACACAGACTGATCCACTCCACGCCACGCTGCATTGATGCAATAATCCAGACAAAAGGAGCAACAACTAAGTATTGATGCTGAACATGTTCATACTTTTCATGTTCATACTTTTCAGTTGGACAACATTTCTAAAAATCCTTTTTTTTATTGGTCTTAAGTAATATTCTAATTTTCTGAGATTCTGAATTTGGGGTTTTCATTAGTTGTCAGTTATTATCAACATTAAAATAAATAAACATTTGAAATACATCAGTATGTGTGTAATGAACAAATATAATAAACAAGTTTCACTTTTTTAATGGAATTACTGAAATAAATCAACTTTTTCATGATATTCTAATGTTATGAGCAGCACATGTATGTTTTTTTTATTTAGAAAACTATCTCATGAACCACAAGTTTTAATGAAACTTTTTAAAAAATACATTATGTACATCTACAACTGATCACTTCAGCTAACCGATCTTAAAAAAAACGACAACACAAAAAAGGCTATAATGTACGGTAGTACATTTTACATATATTGAGCTAAGATGCAGTGTGACGGGAGCCGAGTCATTTGCAACTCATACTTTGAGCGTGACCTTGCAATATTGCATAAGATCAACCATAACATAACTTGCTTGGTCTGACAAATCCGGCTACAGCTCTGTCATTTCTAAAAATAGACAGCAGCTTAAAAATCTCATTTATTCCTTTAAGAAAGCTGGGCTTTAAATTTAAACAGTTATTGACCAAATCTAATTGTTGAATTTGGTGGGAAATATCTTAAAAGTAGCCAATGTTATGTTCAACCTTACACAGAAAAGATGATTTGTTTGTTTTCTTGTAAATAACATTCCATTTTTTTGCTTTTCTCTAGTTTTTCCATTGTGATCTGGGGTATTCTCACACAGAAGAAACCTTACCAAGGTGAACAATCACAGTTTTTACACAGACAATTTAAAACAAAATGATCTAACATATACTTCTGGCAGCCATTTTTACTTTAAATCTATTTTTATAGCATTCCTCTGAACACACGGGCTACACCTGTTCAGGAGCGTGCACGCACCTCAGTGTTTGCTCTTTGAATTCCACAGCAGGAAGGTGGACAGAGCCAGACGGCCAACATTGTTGTCCTTTATTTTCCCAGGCATATTGGGTAGCTCTTTGGAAGTCTGTGTTTAAGGTAGCCGGGGTTGACACCGCCTGTGCTGATCCAGGCAAATTTAAAAAGTGAGAAATCTGTCTCTGGCCATCTTCCTTCCTTGTTTGTGCAGAGTATTATAGCAACAATAGGAGCTGTGCACCTCTGCCAGTCGGCTGTGAGTCACCGACTTCACTGATCCCACAGTCAGATAGGAGCATTTATGTTTCCCATGGGAAACGGCAAACATAAAGAAGGATGGTGATAAAGCTGTGCACGCCTGACCTCCCGTTCAGGCACTGACATCTATTACTGCCTAAAGTTATGACGTAATCTGGCCTGTGTTGCAACTTTTAATTTATGAGTACGGCTCAAACCCCTTTGAACTTCAGTCCATATGTCAGCAGAGACAGAGCAGCCTTGTAGATTCATGTAGCACATAAAGGTAAAACATGGGGATTTTGAATGAAACCGTAATGACTGGGTGATGGTAAAAGTTTATCTTTTTTCCTTAGGAGAAAACAGTATCCTGCAGCTCATGGTGAAGGTGGTGAAAGGGGTTCGTCCTGACTTGAATGCAATCCCACGAAGCCGACCGTCTGCTTGTGCAGGTTTCCTGAGCCTCATGCAGCGCTGCTGGGCCACAAACCCAAGCGACAGACCCTCATTCCAGGGTGAGTTTATTTTTTATCCCAATGTCACCAATGATATAAAACAAAAGACAAAACTGGATTTATTTTTGTAACTATTTGCAGTTTTTCTCTGTTTGATGGGTTAAACAACTTCCCTTTTGTGTAATCTTGAATCCCATTCCTGTGATTACTGAAGCCTAACTAATCTTATTGTTCATACAGAAATCACATCAGAAGCAGAGGAGCTCTGTTCTAAACCTCAAGATGAACCCAAGACCCCGAGGTTATCATCATCATCAGAGCAGGAGCCCATGTCCCCACACCCACTCACCAACGACCAGGTAAATCATGGTGCCACTACATTCACTCCTTTCAGTCAGCACCTCTGCGTTTTTACAAAGATTTTTGTTTTCATTGAAAGTTGAGTTGTTTTTGTGTACAAACCGGATTCCAAAAAAGTTGGGACACTAAACAAATTGTGAATAAAAACTGAATGCAATGATGTGGAGGTGCCAACATCTAATATTTTATTCAGAATAGAACACAAATCACAGATCAAAAGTTTAAACTGAGAGAATGTTTCATTTTAAGGGAAAAATCTGTTGTTTCCAAATTTCATGGCGTCAACAAATCCCAAAAAAGTTGGGACAAGTCCATTTTTCCCACTGTGTGGCATCCCCCCTTCTTCTTACAACACTCAACAGACGTCTGGGGACAGAGGAGACCAGTTTCTCCAGTTTAGAAATAGGAATGCTCTCCCATTCATGTCTAATACAGGCCTCTAACTGTTCAATCGTCTTGGGCCTTCTTTGTGGCACCTTCCTCTTTATGATGCGCCAAATGTTGTCTCTAGGTGAAAGATCTGGACTGCAGGCTGGCCATTTCAGTACCCGGATCCTTCTCCTACGTAGCCATGATGTTGTGATTGCTGCAGAATGTGGTCTGGTATTATCGTGTTGAAAAATGCAGGGTCTTCCCTGAAAGAGATGACGTCTAGATGGGAGCACATGTTGTTCTAGAACCTGAACATAGTTCTCTGCATTAATGGTGCCTTTCCAGACATGCAAGCTGCCCATGCCACAAGCGCTCATGCAACCCCATACCATCAGTGATGCAGGCTTCTGAACGGAGCGTTGATAACAATTTGGGCTATCCTTGTCCTCTCTGGTTCGGATGACATGGCGTCCCAGTGTTCCATAAAGAACTTCAAATCGTGACTCATCTGACCACAGAACAGTCTTCCATTTTGCCACACTCCATTTTAAATGACCCCTGGCCCAGTGCAAACATCTGAGCTTGTGGAGCTTGCTTAGAAATGGCTTCCTCTTTGCACTGTAGAGTTTCAGCTGGCAACGGCGGATGGCACGGTGGATTGTGTTCACTGACTGCTTTCTGGAAGTATTCCTGAGCCCATTCTGTTATTTCCTTGACAGTGGCATTCCTGTTTGAGGTGCAGTGATGTTTAAGGGCCCGGAGATCACGAGCATCCAGTAGAGTTTTACAGCCTTGACCCTTACGCACAGCGATTGTTCCAGATTCTCTGAACCTTTTGATGATGTTATGCATGGTTGATGATGATAACTTAAAAGTCTTTGCTATTTTACGCTGGGTAACACCATTCTGGTATTGCTACACTATCTTTCTGCGCAACAATGGTGGAATTGGTGATCCTCTTACCATCTTGGCTTCTGAGAGACACTGACACTCTGAGAAGCTCTTTTTATACCCAATCATGTTGTCAATTGACCTAATTAGTGTTAATTGGTCTTCCAGCTGTTCGTTATATGCTCAATTTCCTTTTTCCAGCCACTTATTGCTACTTGTCCCAACTTTTTTGGGATTTGTTGACACTGTGAAATTTTGAATCAACATATTTTTCCTTTAAAATAATACATTTACCAGATTAAACTTTTGATCTGTCATCTATGTTGTATTACGAATAAAATATTGACATTTGCCATCTCCACATCATTGCATTCAGTTTTTATTCAAAATTTGTTTAGTGTCCCAACTTTTTTGGAATCTGGTTTGTACTTTTTGAGAAGGTTTTTCCTCGAGAGTAATTCAGATTATCACAGACTGAAAAAGAAAATGGAGCAAAATGAGAGCAATGTGGAGCTCTAAATCATAGTTGGGTTACACTTATGGAATTGATTTTTTTATTAAACATTAGGATGGACCTTCTTGTCTACTGAAACTATTTTGTCCCAATTAACCAAACCTCTCTAACAGTTTCCTTTCAGTCTGAATTTTTTATGCCCCTAAAAATTCTAGTTCTGGTGTCCTGCAGGGCTCTGTTTTTGGTCCTTTCAGTTTTCTATTTCTAAGCTGCCTCTGATTTCTGCACAAAATCACTTTTGGTCAGACCAGTGTCACCTTTTGGAGCCCATAAATCCTTCAGCGTGTCTGTTTAAGGTCGTTTTCACACTAGATAGTCCGGTAGACTAGGTTCGGTTCGGGACCAATATTCATGAGCTTTTGTTTACATTTGAGCTGGTGCGTTTGCATTCACACTGCACTGTGCAGTCAAGTCAACCTGTTGAACCAACCTGTTCCCCCGCTCGCCTGTGGGGGCGCTGCACCAAGAACTACTGAAAGAAACAACACAAAAACCTTTGAAGACCCGTCTTCTTCTTCTTCTTCTGTAAATAAAAATAAAATGAAGTGGCATCAAGTTTTATCAGTTTTAGAAGTTATATTTTGTCATTTTTCAAAAATGGACTTAGCATGAGCAGAAGATGAGACAGAAGACCATGGAGAATATTGTTTTTCACACAAGGCAGCTGACGGCTCCATATAAGAGAAATGCGTGTTTGTTTGTCCTGCGGAGCGGGGCCCGGTCTGTTTACATTCACACTGTACTGGAACCGCGCTGGAGTTCTCTTCTACCGGACCGAGACCTAGGTTTTAGCCCGGGCCAGAGTTCACCTTTTTGTTCCGTGACAGAGTTTGATGGCGCGTTCACACCTCCCTAAACGAACTGGACTTTCAAGGAAAACGAGCTAGAGTTCGATTAAAGTCGACTAAACAGGGCTGGTGTGAATGCACCCTCAATGAAGTCCTGATGTGTTCCAATTTTATTTTGAACTAAAAAGAAAACTATCATTTATTTCTGTTTGGCTCCTCGGGGTTTATTGTTTCTGCCTTGTTGGTTTTAATGTTTGCAGTCTCTTAAATAATATCACAGAGGTACTCTGAGTTAATATGTGGCTAACACTGGCCTACACTTAGCACTGACCTTCATGACTTTAACTCTAAACCCATCTCATACTTTTGTTCTATTAGAAAACCTCCTGGAATTCACAGATATCACTTTGTGAACTTTCCATTTCACAGTTTTATGACTAAAGAAACACATGCTTGTTTAGCTTGAACTCACATCAAGTCTGTGGCTACATTCAGCATCCTGCTGAAAACCCTTTGGCAATGTGTGTGTGTGCGTGTGCGTGTGCGTGTGTGTTCAAGGATTCAAGTATGTTTGTCATTCACGCCACATGTGGTACATGAGGTGGAACAAACTTGTGTACGCAGGGTCCCAGTTACATCCAACAAAAGTATAAAATGTAAAAGAAAAATGGTAATAAGATCTAAGATATGAATGAAGAGAGAGAGAAATAAAACCCAACTTCTTATAAAGTACTAAGTTTCAATGCAAAGACAAAATCCTAAAGAAGTAAATGCATGGATATTGTTTTACTAATTTTTTTTTCTTGTTTTGCTTCTTTAAAGAATTTATCAGTGTGCTTGTATGACTTGTTTGTTAATGTTTAACTAACAAAAGGGGTTATCTTTTAACTCTCCTAAATTGTTGTGTCACAGGAGAGGAATGTTGATTTATGGCATTTTTTAACCTGTGTACTGCTTTTATCACTTCCGGCCTGTTGAGTTGTTGTGTACGTGACTAGAAACAAACATCTGCTCACCAGCAGGGATCACTTTTATCAAGAAACCTCTTTTTGTCCAGAACGAAGACTGGACTGTTAAGACTTGTAGTTTTACCGTCTTTATGTAATTAGTTGTCTTCATTTAAAATAGTTGTTGTGCTGCACTGAGAGCCGTCTGCAAATCTGAGAGGAGATCTAATGGCATGTACAGAATGTTGAAGAGTCATACAGGATGCTAACCACCGATTGTTCCACAGGGTAATGTCAACAAACCGGTGCGCCCAAAGTCCGCCATGTTGCCGGAGAAAGACTGCAGTCTGTCAGAGCTGCTGAGCCAGGTGGATTCTGGGATTTCTAGGAGCTTCGATCGAGTGAAGGAGGACAGCTGCCACAGCAAGGAGAGCACGACTAAGAGACTGTCTGGAATCTCCTCCGCAGACTCCGCCTTCTCCTCCCAGGACTCCATCACCCTGTCCTTTGAGAAAGAAAACACAGTTGGTAGGAGCCGATTAAAGATCTCAAACAGGATGTATTGACTGTAAAACAATCACTGATCATGACTTTGTAAATCCTAGAAGTCTCTGTGTACACTTGCTAAAGTTTTGATGAGTCTTTTAAAGCTTCATTTAATCCTTGTTGTTCAGATTCTGCTGAAGTCCAGAAGAGGAAGCTTTGTGAGGCCATCAAGAATAAAGACACCGCCAAGCTGATGAAGATCCTCCAGCCTCAGGATGTTGACCTTCTCCTGGATGGAGGCGGCAGCTTGCTGCACCTCGCCGTCTCCCTGGGAAACGAGGAGGCAGTGAAGTTCCTGCTCCTGAACCATGCCAGTGCCAACCTTGCAAATGCACATGGCTCCACGCCCCTCCACCTGGCTACAGAGAAACACCAGAAGTCTCTGGCTGAGCTTCTGTTGAACCGACGCAGCACCAACGTGAACGCCAGAGACGAAGACCAGTACACGGCTTTACACTGGGCGGCGCAGAACGGAGACGAAGCCATGACTCGACTACTGCTGGACCGGGGAGCGGCCATCAATGAGACTGATGGCCAGGGACGCACTCCGGCTCATGTGGCGTGCCAGCACGGCCAGGAGAACGTGATCAGGGTGCTGCTGAGTCGCAGTGCTGACGTTCAAATCAAGGGCAAGAACAACTGGACTCCCCTGCACTTCGCTGCCTGGCAAGGGCACCTGGGTATCGTCAAGCTGCTGGTCAAGCAGGCCGGTGCCGATGTGGATGGCCAAACCACAGATGGCCGCACACCTCTGCACCTGGCATCCCAGAGGGGGCAATACCGAGTGGCACGGATCCTGATCGAGCTAGGAGCAGATGTCCGCGTGATGTCAGCCGAGTTAAACACGGCGCTACATGTCGCCGCGGAAACCGGCCACACCAGCACCTCCCGTCTGCTGATTAAACACAAGGCAGATCCAAATGCCCGGAATGGTCACGGACTCACACCTCTCCACCTAGCCTCGCAGCAGGGCCACCTGGCCACAGTCAAAATGTTGATTGCAGAGGGGGCGGACCCTTGCCTTCTTGACCATTCCCTACATACCCCCTGCCACCTGGCGGCAGAGAGCGAACACAGCGAAGTCCTGAAAGAGCTGCGGCTTCACTGTCCGGACGGTGGCGCTCTCTTGGATCAGGAAGGACTCGGCCCGCTGCACCTGGCAACACAGGGGTGTGTCTCTAACCTCCGTACGACACCGCTGCCGCAAGCCTGCCACGACTCCGCTCCAGAGAGCACGGAGCAGCCCGCAGCTGAGGAACCCACTGCACAAGAAGTCCGGCATCTCCCGAGGAAAGTGCTCATTCTCAAACTGACAGAGCACAAGGACAAGCACTGCCCACAGCCCCCCAGCTCGGACTGCGTTTCTGCACCCTGCTAACACAACAAGACACAGACTTGTACAGAGCTGTGGGTTCCTACGCAGCCCGGAGCAGATGGAATTTGAATTTAGTCTTTTCCACATCTGCCTTAGTATTTATACAAGAAAACAGTCTGAAAATCATCAGCATTTTCAGACTGTTTTCTTAATGTTTTTATTTTTTTGGCTGCTCCCTTCCACAGTGAACTAACTCACATGAAGACTTGGCAACTATTTTTATGCCGGATGTCAATCCTGATGCAACCACAGACCAGCGAGCTACCACAGCCCTCTGCGTGGAGCAGAGCGCTGAACTGGGGACCTTTCAACCACAGGCTCACCTTCTCTAACATCTGTGCCACCACTCCCCCGAGACTCATTACTTAATGCATGTTTTAAAAATAAAATGTATAGATTTATTAATTTTTAATTTGGAGTGATAAAAATCTGTAAGATTCTGATGATAGGTATTTTGCTTGGACAAAGAAAGACATTTTATATTTCTTAAAAATTCAACTAGAACAGTGCATTGAAGGAAGAATAGTTTGTAGTTGTTTTACCGTAATGCATTGGAATGGAATGAAGAAAAAAATCATTTTTAATTAAGGAAATAATTTTTAACAGAGAGATGGTGAAACGGCCTCATTGTATAAACACAAGAAATTACCGGTACAGTATAAAATTGTTTTTATATCAAAAATAACTCAAAAATTCACTAAAATATGTGAACACATGAGTGGATAAGTCTGGACTTTAAAAATCTAAAATGTGTGTGAACCCTTCGAACCATATTTTGTGTTTTATCATTTTTATTTTATGTCTGCTCCAACTTGGGTTGAAGATTGTTTGCAGTGTTGGACTCTGGAAGTATTGCATCTCCTAACTACCATAAAGCTGACATGTAAATATGTATACTGTAAATAGAAAGTATAAATAAGATTTTGTTAACTTTTTACTCAACAAACGCAACAGAGCTCATGTAAATAAAATGATTGAATATGTCCTTGATGGACTTTGTTTGTTGCCTGTAAATAACTTTTATAAGATCAGTTTGGTCACAGAGCAACGCTGCGTCATTGATTAAACTCTTTACTCTTTACGTGGACTTTTTCACTTTCTTGTAATACTTGAAGCTGCAAACTATTTGGAAAAGGTTTTTATCTCCTTAACACAAAATGTTCAGTTTAGCAAAGTGGTGAATTGAAATGCCCTCAGTCCATCCATCGTGTGCAGGATTAATATGAAGTGAGGGACCCGGCTTCCATTTTGGTGTGTGGCTGCATGTAGGCGTAAGAAAAACCACTTTGAAAAAGGGGGTTGCCACGTCAAAATTAAAGACGGCCATTGCCATACGTAAACCTGCCACCTGATCATTTAAGGAAACTTTTTTATTTTGCTTAAAAACTATAGTTTCCTCAATTGACTGGTGTGGCTGAACATTAATCATAGTGGGCAATTCCACCATTGGCCACCACTTGGTTCTGCCACTGCATTCGAGGATGGATAAATTTGCTCCGACGTGACGGGATAAAAAAAAATAAAAAGCCCAACTCTCTTCTTAAACGGTGCAATTCCTACTTCACTATTTCACCATTTTAATAGTAAAATATAATTTTACAGTGGGTAAAAATCCTTAAAGTAATTGAATGTTTAATGGTCAGACTTGATGCATTGCAGATGGTTTTAATTATTTTTTTCCAAAAATGTCAAAGAAAACGTCTCGGGACAAATGTTACTTTTCCTTTTTGTGTGTTGAACTCTCAGATATTTAGAGATTCTTCCTGTGGAGACCGAACTTTACGGATCTGAAACCATCATTTAGATTTTTACAGTGAGTTCAATCGTAACGAGTCAAGTTTTCTTTTAGGAGACACTCTATGTAAACAACAAAAAAATATTTGCAGTGTGATTGACTTCTGAAATATGCTGAAGAACTCTAAACAGGTAAAGCTAAAAGAAGCAAAACAGCTAAAACCGAAGTAGCAAACTTGTAGCCAGTAGTAGAAGTAGCTAAATTAAAGCTAAATAAGGACAAAGGACAAGTATGACATTTCAAAGAGAATGTTTATGAAGGAACTGTAGCGATCAATGTATTTCTATAGGGAAAATATGTAAATATTTTTGACATGATTAAAAGCTAAAGCACCCATCTGTTGAATGAGCCGAACATTTTGATATGAATGCTAAAAATAACAAAGATACTATAAAATGTGGAGGAAAAAATGGATAAAAACGGTAAATATTCAGTACCACTTAAGGCTCCCCTTTGTAAACCTAATTTTACTTTAATGCAGTGATAAAGTACAATATTACATATATGATAAAGAAGGGTTTACAAATGCTTATTGTTCTTACAAGGTAGTAACTTAGTCTGAAATATTTATTATAACTAAATAAAATATATAGATGAACTGATTTGGTGGGAAACTGGTCAGTTTTGTCTCTGCCACCCTTAATTAATGGATAATAAGCAGTTATTAATGATTTATAAAGTGTTTAAAGAGGAATTAATAACATATCTATAAACTTTATTAACCATTTATAAGGGGAGCCTTATTGTAAAGTGGTACCGATTTTTGCAACTTTATTTAGTCTTATCACCAGTTATAGAAAATAACTTTTAGGTATTAAAAAAAATGAATGCACAATAAAGATGAGTGTAGATCGTGAATGTTATTTTCTCCTTGTACGCATGAGATTTTAAATGTTTTTGTTTCTAATTCTGACCAGTAGTAATGCTTCGTGAGCCGGAGCATTAACAGTAACTACAGATGGGAGGGGATTTCATCACTTTATAGATTCTTGAACACGGCGTTGGTCGTGTAGAGAGGATTCTGACGGCTCGTGTCACGGCCTGAAGAAACATCTGCTCCTCGCTCATTTGGCCTCAGCTCCAGCTGCACGTGCTGCAGGACCTTTAATCCTCCATGCTGACTGGAGTTGGCGTGTCTGCATCTGCAGCCCCACCTGTGGAGGTATTATTATCTCCCTGCTCCCACTCAGGAGCATGCTCAGGTTGGCACAGACCCTGGGAACTGGCCCTGAGGGGGATCACAGGCTGGAGGATGATGGATGGCTAAGGAGGGCCGCTGATGTTCTACAACCTGCAGTTCCAGCCTGTTGGCTAATTCCTAAGACCACTTCAAGTTTTCATCGCTCTCTAAAACCAACACACCATCCCTGACGCCTCTGGGCCTCTTTTTGCAACCTGAGACAGTCTGCGCTGTGTGAGAGTGGGCTGTTTTTACAGTTTGTTAGCAGAGGCCCTGAAGATGGGATATTTGATACCTCTGTTTGGTGCACAATGAACCCTGTTCTGCCTGTTTCCTCGTGACGTCTCTTCTGCTGCGGATGGCGGAAAAACACGAGCCCAGTTTCAGCTGACATCTGTTGAGGCTGCTGTTTATTTGGAAAGACAAGTAGATTAGTTTATTATGTAGGTAAAAACATTTAAAGGGACTGATTGCAAAGCATGAGCCTGAACTGTATGAAACGGTGCAGTTTGGAACAGTTTGCTCCAGTAGTTGTCCAGGTGTGCACTTCTGAAATGTGGGCATGTAAACAAAGCACTGAACTGAGTCCACTGAACGCCCCGTGGAAGCTCGAGTACGACTGACCTTTGACCTGGCCGTGGTTTGTCCTCTGAACTTTGGAAGGGTTGGAGAGGAAACTCCAAACCCTATAGTGAGATAAGACAAAATAAATTAACTACTTAAAGTCACAGCACACTATTCTCAACTGAGCCGTGTGCTTGGAGGGATTTTTCTGCGTTTTTCCAAAGCTGCAGGCGGTGTACCTAACAGAATATTCAGAAATAAACGGAATCAGAGTTCAATATTAATAATTATTCCCTTAAAAATATATCAGGTGTGTGCAAGGAAAACAAAAAAATTAATAAAATTGAATGTGTCACTGTGCGTTCTTCGTTTTTTAGTTACAATTCTGCTTTACATACAGTTTGTTATGTATGGAGGGTGGAATGTGACACAATTAAATAAATAAATACTTTGTACATAATAATCAAATGCATCATTTAATTATTCAAATCATCATTAAATCATTAAAGCCCAATGAGTTTGATGAGTGGGGCTGACGGTAACATACAGTAATTTCATGATGACACTGCTGCACGCGAACCATGAAATAAATAAATACACAGTGAAATAATTAAATATATTTAAAAAAATAATCTTGAAAATTACATTTCATTAAATTTAATTGTATATTTAATGATGTATTAAATAATGAAATTATACATTTAATTGTTTAATGACATTTATATTTCTTTATTTCATTATATATTTATTTATTTAATTTTGTCACCATCCACCCTCCATATAGTTATATCTTTTGTGGCAGTAAATATGTGAATGTTGTAATACAACTCCAACTGCGATAAATTTGTGAAATAAAGTTGTGTAAAATGTAAAAAAAAACCAGATTGCTATTAGTTGTGAATCTAAACAATAATTTTAGTTCCAGGGGAACATAGTAAACATATCAAATACTGTTTAAACTAATACATGGCACCATTTTATTGGGTGATAACTAAAGAAAGTTGAGACAGAGCAGTTCTACCAGTAAAGCATCTCCTCTTCTTCACAAAGAGCCTGTAAACGTTGAGGAACATGAATTTTTAGAAGAAACGTCGTCTAGTGTCTGATGGTGGATTCTGGTTAACAGTTCTGTGCTGCTTTGATGGACGTTTGTATTTTTCAGGGTGCAGTTTAACATCGTCTTACTGAAATATCTTCACAGACATCTACACCTCCAGATGCAGGAAGAGGGCCACCTGCATCATGAAGGACCACACTCACCCAGCACACACACTTTTTGCCCCACTCCCCTCAGGAAGGAGGTTGAGGAGCATTAAGTGTAGAACCACTAGACTGAGGAACAGCTTCTACCCTGAGGCTGTTGGACTCATGAATCCCAAATCAGGATTATCAGTGTGAACAAAAACAAAACAAAAAAATCACTGTAATGTTACTTTGATTGATATGTGCTTCTGATTATCCATGATGATCTCATGCTGCTGATTATTTCATGCTGTTGTTTTCATTCGTACTCGTATACCCACAAAGACTCATGTTCGTGCTGCTGTTCAGTGTATTGTTTTGCACTATTAGTGACTA